CTGCCTCCTTCAGCTAGTGACAAAAAAAATTCTTCAAAGAAATGAAGAGGTTTTGCATCTGTTGAGYAGCTTTAAGCTTTATCAAGTAGCTTCATTTCCACTGAAGTTTCACTATTGGTGACTCTAGGAGAGATCTGGACACAACAGAGCTTTGATTCCCTGTGAGGTATCAAAGCTGGTCAGAAATAAATCAACAGGAAACTGGACTGGGTTATTTCCCTTGCTCATTGGGCTGCTTTTACTGAAGTTTAGGGAATGGTGGATCATGGCAGTTTGCCTAGTCAGAACGGGAGAAAAAAAAAAAATCAATTCTGGAGCTGAGTGAAAACCAGGTTTCTCTCACATAGTTCATATTGCCTCTAATATCTCAAAGTGCTTTATATTTAAGCTGTTTAAAAGTCTCATGAAAAAATGTTTAGAGTTCTTTGGGGTCAAAAAGAACAAGGATAACGGTGATTCATTTAAGTATCTTCTACCTGAAATTGAAATAGGCTTTTAAGAATCTTCCTCACTGAAGGCCATTGAGGAAATTAAGCTGTAAGAGGAGAGGTCCTCTCTTGGAGCACTGGTCAAAAGACAGGAAACAAATCAGTTCACCTAATGGGGAGGGTTCACCAGGGTTGCTCCACAGGTTCTCTGCTATTTACAGTCATAAGTGAACTGGCAAAGGGAAAGAGTAGCAACCTGACTGTTTGCTGCTCATACAGAATTATTCAAGGTAGTGAAAATGAGGGCAGACTAAAGAATTATACAAGATATGAAAAGACTGACGGGGTAATAAAATAGATGAAATTTAGTGTAGATAAATGTGAAGTGATGCATGTGGGGGGGAAAGCAGTCCTAGCTCCACATATAAAATTGGCTCTGAGCTGTCTGTGCCACTCAGTAGTGAGACCTTGGGTTATGATGGATAGTTCCATGAAAACATCAGCTTGTACTCAACAGGCTAAAAAGCAAATCAAATTTTAGGAATTATGAGGAAAGGACTAAAGAACAAAACAGAACAGATCTATATGGTGGCATAATGATGTTGTTTATCTGCACCTTGGAAACTGTAATTCTTATTGACTTGTCTCAACAAGGGCGTATCAGGCTTGGGAGGATGCAGAAGAGGGAAATGAGKGATACAAGGCCCTTTAGTGGGATGGGCTGGGTAGGCTGGAGTTACCTGGTGGGGGGGAGGGGGGAAGAGTTTGATGGAGGTCTATAAAATCATGAGTGGATGGAGGATGAATTTTCAGTTTCAGTGCAAGAGCTGAGAGCCACCGTGAAGCCTAGAGAAAATTGACCCAGAACAGTAGGAAGCATCTCTTCCATAAGTGAGTAGCACTGCCAAAGGATGCTCAGAGAGGTTTGTAGAGGTCTCGGGGAGATGGAGCAAGAACTCAAGTGCCTGTCGGCACAAATCACAAGCCCAGGAAATCTGAAAAACACTAGGAACTTGAAAGTGTTTCAAGTTAGAAATACCATGCATGTTTGCCCTCTATTTTCCCTCAGAGTTCCCATTTTTGTTMACTGGTAGAAACAGATGAGTAGGTTATGTCCTTTTCGTGCAATGTTCCTCACCCCTGAGATGCCTCTCTTGCTCTAAATTGTTGGTTTAAGTGGCTGCCCTAGTGTTTGAGGCTGGTTTGCTCCTTTCAAGCTCTTGTGATGCAATGATAAATGTGAAAGGCCTGTTTTGTAGAAATTGCCAATTCTGRTTTATGATTTTTACCATGTGCCCTGTTTATGAACTTAATCACTTTGAGCCTGAAAAGAATGAGGAGATGACAACTTTGAGGAATGCCTGAAATCCCCCAGTGACTTTGGCTAGTGATCTTAGGTTGCTCCCAAGTTTGGTTGATGCTCTCCATGCCTTTTTAGCACTGTCAATCCCCTATAAATAAAGACTAGGAAGGCCTGAGCTCTTTGGGTATTAGTGACCCTGTTTTTCCTGCTACCTATTTTATATACATTTTTGTTAATCATCTCCTAATCTTAATTAAGAGATTAGCATCTCTTATAAAGGAAACTGAGGTGCAAAGTAGAGCAACCAAGGGGAATGAGGAAAAACAAARGGCCAATCTTGACATACTTAGTTCCTGCATTGTGGGGGATTTTCCTTTAGCACAAGAATATTCTCACTACCCTAAACAGGGTAAGCAATAACAAAGGGAGTGTTGTGGAGAAAGCTGACCAATTATTTTCAGTCAGGATGTTCATTTATGATGTTACATGTGTAGGCCTATGCTATGTGGCTGTATTAGCACCTGTTTAAATATTTGTCTAGGACATTGGCTAATGTAACTCAGCAGTACCTTAGAATGCATCATGAACATGCATTTAAAAATAAATTTACTAGAATAACAGTAGTTTAATTGCAGCAATTGTGTTCAGGCAATGGATTGTGCTCGTTTTGGTGGCTGATGAACCTAGTTCAAAAAAGTGGCCTACTCCACCATCAATATCATATTAGTGTGCCTAAAATATCTTGTTAAAATACACTTGTTGCAGCAGTCTGTTATTGTATAGGACCAATTTGTYCATATTGGTTTTGCAGCTGTTTTGGGTGAATTTCTTGTGTCCTGGTGAACTGAGGTGGTGGAGTTACAGCTCACCTTGCTTTGCAGAGATGTTTGGTTGCTGGAAGTACTGCAGAATTCCTGTCTCTTATAAGAAGCTGTAAAGCAATAAAGTTTTCTGTTGCCTTCAGTTGCCAGCTGGGCTGGAGGTGTGTGCTTTGAGTCATTACCCTGCTACTGCACAGTGTTTATCAAAGATATTTATTCATTTTACTTGCTACTGTAGGGAATCCTTTGGATGCTTGCTTCTAATTTCTGTTGAGTTCTGGATGACAGATCAGTCTGATCTTGCAAAAAATTGAATCCTTTTTTTACTTACGCAGATACATCTGAAATATTTAGCACTGAGAATTTTTCTGCTACTGAAAGTAGTAGCTGAATTAGATTTCTGCTTTCCTTTATCTTTAGGAAAAAAAGTTGTAGTTCAATGACAATAGGTTTTGGTTTTTCAGGAAATATGCTAGGTTTACAATAAGATAAAAATTTCAGATTAAGACCAAATATCAGTATGAGTATTGGTTTTCATTCTAGCAGAAGTTATTCCTCATTCTTATCTGGGACTTTGCTGGGATTTTTTTTAGGGCATGGTAACTGGGACCAGCACGAACAGACTGAGCTCTGAAATGCAAAGTGCTTTCAGTGTTGTGTGGCACTGAGTTAGAGTTGCAACTATCCAAAATGATTCTTGTTCTGAGTTTGTTACAAATTCAATCTTATTCAGTTTTCTCATTTTGAATTTTTCATTTTACTTCATAGAAATATCACCATTATAATTTAGATAAAATCTCTGTGAGAATAGAACTACTGTTAAATTTTTTTCCCAAGGAAAATAGTGGTTTACCTAGTTTCTGCCTTGTGTTATCATTGTGTTTCACTGCACAACTTGTGCAATAACACTTTAATTTCTCACTTTGTTCTGCCTGCTGAGCAAGAACAAGATGGATATGTACACTCTGACCTCTTGATGAAGTAATTCTAAAATGTGGAGGGTGTCCTCAGTCAACTGTTTAACCAGCTAAGCCTCTGAAATTTTAAGCTTGCTGTCTCCTTTTGCGAGTCTGCTAGAAACACTCCTCCAAATTAAATTTTATGTTACTGATGGCRGAGTACAGATCTGATTTTTAGTTCTGTTTGTTTTGTGCCGTCATGTTTTGAAATGTGTTCAGATGCAAATCAATTGAAACTCAAGGTAGTCTTAATCCCTGTAAGAAGCTGGGATTTGCTATGTTCTTTAGATGATCCTGTTCAGCAACACACCCTGGCTACCAGACATGGAGGGGGTTTCTTGGGCCATTTCTCTTTGCTTGCAAAGCATATTCTTGCTTCAGAACTTAAAGTCATAAAGTTTTAGCTCCAGTCTTAGAAAGCTATGAGACAACAAATTCTTACTGATTTTCCACACTTCTGTAGCAATGAAATTAAGTGTATGACACTTATGCAGTACTGAAATATCCTGAAAGAGGGATCTGAAAGTGAAATATTAAGTCACTGAACCTCTTCCTTACATTACCTTTCTATTACACAATCCCTTAAGTAAAGAACAGCTAGCAGAAACACCCTGTACAAACAAATACTTCAAGATTTGGAAGTAGGACAGGAAGGTCTATAAGTAGGATAGCTTCTGTAATAAAATAGTGACTGGATGCCCAGTGCTTTTTACCTCTAAGAACTGGTAAATACCTCTAAGTGATAGGATCTTGCTTAGAAAATGGATTTATGAAACTGCTAATATTTCCTAGAGTATAAACCCAAGCTTGGTTCTCCTGTCACTTGAGTATTGCTGCATATCAGTGTGGGAGACGCTGGRGAACCTGCTTGTGCTGACCCTGTAGGAGATGGGCTGTAGGGCCTGTGTGTGGAGTTGTAGTCTCTGATTAATGGTCCTGCTGTGACATCTGTGCTGCTGCACACCTTCTGGTCCTGGATGCTTGTATTTAATGCTGCTTCTCCCTTCTATARGAGAAAAAGATGGAGATGATGTTTCTTAGTGCAAAAGCTATGGAGAGCAATGAGCTATTAGTTCAGTGGGGTTTTCCTCTGTGTGTGCCTGTGAAACAAGGACTGGCCGTAACCCCTTAGCGTGTACGGTCAGAGCTGCTGGCCCAGCAGCTGGGTGGCCGTGTGGACAAGCTGAACTTGGGTGTTGTGACACATCCTCATGCTCCCTGCACTAGCAACAAGACACTCCTAGCAAGTCTCATCATCATCTTACTTYAGGAGAATTTTCCCATAAAGGTGTATTTTAAAGCTTAAAAAGAAAGCAAACAAGCTCAGAGCTGCAGCTCAGGCGGCTGAACTTAAGTGCTTTGCYCTGCTCTTCTGAAATTCATTGCTATCTATTACAGAAGCTACAGCATGAGGCCGCAGGAAAGATAGTTTTGAAAATGATAGCTTTTAAAACCTCTGAAGATGCTCCTTTTGCGTTACTCTTGGCAGGGAACCGGTGTGAGAACTGATGTGGAGATAGTTCAGTGCTTTGACTGCCACCTACTGCTTGCTGCTTACACACCAGATGCACTGGTAAGCAGAGTGTTTTTGTCAAATTTGAGGAAAAACTGCSTATTGCACATGCCTCTTTGTTTACAAACTGCAGGCCACAGCTGAATTTCCAAGTGTTAAATGTTCATAGTGGTTTTCAGCCTCAATGTCCAATGCAGCAGATGCAGAGGAACTTGGTATGYTGAATGTCCTGTCCACAGTTGGTTTAAATCTAGGCAAGTTTTGCACTTGAATTTGAAACCCCACACATTTAAATGAAGGAGAGTATTTGATTTAGAGGACTCTTGAGATTTAAAATGACATTATGTGGTTTTTCATCATTTTTTAGCGTGCAGTACTTCGCTTTCACTTCAGCCAAGCATTAATTCCTGGGGAAGGGGACCAGGAAGGAGGTGCTGCCCAAATGCTCCCTGCTCCATGGAAGGTCCCAGASCTGCCTTGTGGACCAGGGGTCCTCCTGGAGCAGCTGCTCTTCAGTCTCATGTGGTGTCCGCACAGCCCCAAATCCTGGGAATGTGGCAGCACAGTTCAGACCATTTTTTGGCAGTATTTTTTTGGAAAAAAACTAATCAGGTCTTATTTCACTATCTTATGGACTGTCCAGAGCTATTGCTGTCATTTGTCCRTGCAGTATAGTAATTATAATAGAGGCTGCATGAAAACCCTTAGCATAATAAGTGRCAAATGAGGAGCAAACTGCATTGCTGTATTAGTATTTACTAATGATATCAAAATAGGAGATAAACACTTTTCACTTGAACYATGCCCTAAGATTTTAAAGGTGGCCACTATAAACTTTGTGAAATAAGCTTTTTTTGTGCAGTACTTTTTTCTGATAATAAGCATAGCTACCTCTTGTTTTTTTTCTTACAAGCAACCACTTTTATTCTTGAAGTGAGAGTTGGGAGATGTATTTAAATCCTATGGAAGTCTCTTGCCCTGTTCAAAAAGYCCAATGTTTGCCCTACCTCTATTTAAACAGATGAACTTCTACAGTGCTGGTGGAAAGCAAATGGATGTTAAGCTGCTACGGAAAGCTTAGCTTGAGTATTGTAGTCTATTCCWGAAGAAAAATCCATTTAATGCATGCAGAAGAATTAACTGTTAATGCGCCACCTATTAAGGCACAAGGGATTCCTTGTAGCACTTGTATCATCCAACCAGGTAACAGGAAAATAACTCAGATGATTTAGGAGACTGAATGAGGCAAATAATAACATAGACATCCAGTGAGCCATTTATAACTTACTGTGAGCTTAAACTTCCTTTAAATAGATTTCTCACAGAAAAAATGTCAAAAAAGCAACACCTTGGTAATAATTATGATCCATCTGTGGGCTTTTCAGGAACCAAAAAAATGCAAATAACATCTGTTGAATTTAGCTCAATGAGCAACTCAGCCAGCTGTATCCATAGCTTCAGGAAAGCACTGTCTTTTGGAAATCAGCTGGAAGTAAAAGTCCTCTTAAAATGAAGGGAAAACGTTTTCTGCTTAGGTAACATCAGTTTATCCATTAGAAATCTTCACCCCTCTAATGGGGTTAGTGACAGAACTTGGTGACCTTTAAAATTTAATTTGGACAAATAACACTTGCAGATTTCCTGTCTTACTAAATGCTGAAGATGATATAAAACATCTATGAAGCTGAAAAGTATTGTACCTAGCTAAGTAACTAGTAATGTAGCTGCTAATGCTTTTAAGAAGATGTAGGGACTGTACCCAGCACAAGTACACCAGCTTACAAGTATTTTGAATTTACCCCATTTTTATCTTAGGAAATTCAAGCAYATAATCTGAACAAGATACAGCTGATGAAGTTGTATTGAATAATCTTTGTAGTATCAAGCTGTTGATTTATTGCACCCAAAGCTGTGCTAGGCTCCTGTTGCAGGTAAAATGTGGTCTTTTTTTCCAAGCTTCCATTTAATTTTCCACATGACAATGCAAAGATGAAATGGGYGTCGTGGGGAGCCAAAAGAAGAGAAGAGGCTGCATTAGCAAGCTCTGGTGATCCAGCAGAGCCGGGCCCCAGGAGCAGTTTTGGGGTGAGCATGCTGCATTGCCCAAAAGCCTGGCCCTGTAGGCAGGACTGGTTTGACAGGGCAGGCTCAGGGGCAGCCCTGCTGAGGAACACATGGAGCTAGAGCTTTGCTGGGAGGATGGGTCCTGCTGCATCTCGCAGGCTGGCCTGGATGGGCAGTTCTGCCAGGGGGTTTGGGGCTGGCTGTTGGTGACCTGTGTGCTTCATTGCCARCCGGTGCCAATGGGTCCATTGCAGCTGAACCGCCGGGCAGGGGCATAATGGCAAAACTGACACTCGCTTCATATCTGTAGCCTTATTTACATTGACCCAGACAGAATCCATCACAGTATAAAGCGCTATTAATAACATGTTAATTGAACCACTGAATCCCACCAAACACAAAGGGCAGGCTGGTGCTTCAGTCACCTAAAGGGACGTTTGCTTGGAAGCTGAAGAAAAGTAATGGTTTTACTTAAAATATTGGTAAAGAACCAGAAAGGATAAAATTAAGTTGACCTTTTGATAGATGTCTGTTTATTGATTTAAATTCACCATTTTGTGAACAGCGTTGAAGAGGTCTGTTAGAATAGAAGCATGTATAATAACATGAGCTGAACAATTTTTATTTCTTTGTGTGTCATTATAGAGAGATTGAAGCAAGCTTCACCTAAGTGTAGTGATGCAAAAAAAATAATAGTACCCAGGCTGGATCTGCAAAAGCAGAGGAAAACAAGAGCTTTATATTAAAGTGCCTTCTAGGTAGCTGACATGACGCATCTAGTCAGACGTAAATAATGACAGACGGAAACTATCATGAGGTCTGTGAAGCATCAACATGCTGCCATCATTTTCTTTCTAACCTTGCCTTGCTAGCAGCTCTCAGACTTACAGGCTGAGAGATCATTTAAAAAGCAAATCCTAATGATGCTGCCCACTGTAACAACAGCCGGCGAGATTGGCATCAATTTAGCTCGGTTTAGAGACTCGGCCTCGCAGCCCTTGTGGGCTCCTGACACCCAAAATGTGCCCATGTCTCCTTCCTGGCTCCCTGTGGCTCCTGTGCATTTTGGAAATGCGGGTTCACCCGTATGGGCAAAGGGAGAGCAACATTTCTGCTTTTTCCTTTGTTTTTTGGTAGAGGAGCCCTTTGATTAGCTGCTTTGTTTATTGCCTATATTTGTGTACAGGATGCCTGGAATTACATATGCATTTTTTCTTATTACACTTGTGCTATGCATGCACAGGATATCAGAGTAACAACCCCGTGTCCCTGTAGCTTCAGCCGAGCAACGTTATGGTTCAGATAAACCCATCTGTACATGGCTGCCATAATCAATGTGGAATGGCAGAGCAATTTTACAGCTGCAACTCAAGAAAACAGAACAAACTCGCAACAGTTCTGGTTTCTCCAGCTCAACAGCCTGTTTGCCAAGGCAACCTACAATAAGTCGCACATTTTAAGCCACTGACTTCATTGCAAACCTCTGGGAAGCAAAGCTGCTATGCAATAACATAATGGCATTATTGCTTTGCAAATCAGCATGCGGCTTTGCTTGGGTGCTAGCGGGGCACAAGGGCTCGCAGACAGATGACAACGTGAAAAAAACAAGTAGATCGGACTGCTTGTTTCTGATTGTAAACATTATTTTCATATACTACAATTCCATTCTGTTTGGTAAGCCTGACCCTGRCCTGGGTAAGTGTACTTTCATTGTATGTAAATTAAAACAAGGCAAAAAGCCTCCCCAACCCTCCCCATCTGAAGGCTATTTACGCTTCACAGATCTTTCCAGTACTTTAAGCACAACTAAGCTGCTATTTCAGGTAAAGAAAATGCTATTTTTTTCCAAGGAAGCATTTTAAGGTTTCCCCCTGCATGCATCTGAATGCTCTAAATAGTAATACAGGAATCGTGACTCAAAGTAAATAGATGGCACTTAATTATGCTGGTGATGTCAGGTACTGTATAGGTTGATTTCCCAAGGCGTAAGTGAAAAATGTACTATTTGGTCTTAAATTTAGGCTTAATAAATAGCTAATTTAGGATCTTGTTCTATATGCAAGGATATAATCGCAAGGCATTCATTTTTAAAAGGTTTCATTTATTCTTGTGAGCTTAATTATTGCAAGGAAACTGTGAGCAATTTGTTTTTTACCAGTGTCTGATTTCTGAGAATGGTTATTAAATATTAAATGGATGCATAATTCAGGCAATTAAGAAAGTAATCACACAAAGTAATGTAATGGAAGTTAATTATTACTGCATAAGCAAATAGTTCATTAATGCTAGTAGTTGCTATGGCTGCATTCTTAATACATGCAGAACTGAAGCATGAATCCTCTGTGTATTCAGAGAGGTACTACAAGTATGGTACTGCAGAAGGAGTGCTCCTAATGAAAAGCACAGGCAAATAAGGTCAGATTGACCCCGGACTTGGACGAGTACCTTAGGATCATCATTACTTAGGAGTGTTTTATCAAAACCACGGCTGCTTTAGATGCTTATCTTTCTGTTTGTAATACAGTTCATGGTTTAAATCAGGGAAGAAGTTAGGGTATTTAGCTTGTTTATAGGGGGGGRAAAAAACCACCAATCCTGCTTCCCCTGTTAAAATTCTACTCAGTGGTGGTGTTCTTGTTAAAAGGCTGTAAAATCATTATATGTAACTTAAAAGGGTTGTACAATTTTTTCAGTACAAAAGTATAATAGCTGACAACCACCCTTGTTAGATTTTGTTCTTCAACTAGAGCAAAATCCAGCATTTCTTGCTAACCTTATTTCCTTAAAGTGTAACACCTTGTAGAGATTATTTTAGGTCAAAAAGACATTCCTGCAGTCATACTCTATATAATACAACTGCATCACAGTGTATTAACCTCAGAGCMATAAGGTTCAGTCAAAGATGGGAGYGTTCATGACCTAGGCATGATCAGTGCAAAGTAACTGAGTCTTGTTGCAGCCTTGGAAGGTGTGAGGAGATGGTGGGGCACTCAGGTCCCTCTGTTCTGGGGCTTGAGAGGAGCAGAATGGCCAGATCTGTGCTCATGTGCTGGGCAGCTGGTGGGTGAGGGCTGCTAGCTGTGGTAGTTAGTGTGACCCCCAGCTGCTGGTTCATGCTCTTAAATGAGTTGAACTAGGTAAAGGGAGACAGATCTTGTCTTCAGCTCTGCTCTGGGATTGTGAAAACTGGGAGTAGACTCCAAGTGGTGCTTGGCACTGCCTGGGATGTTGTCTGCATGCACCTGGGAACGTGGAGGTGCGCAACCTCGGTGTGTCCTGTGCAAGGAAAGGAGGCTGCGGGAGCCCGTTCTTGCTAGCTCAGCGTTTGCTGAAATYTCCAAAATGTTCCCGTACTCCCTGCACCCTGTGTGCTTGGATCTTGAGTCCTCCAGAGAGGCCAAGGAGGGAGAGGGAAAGCATCACGGTGGCGGCTCTTTATTGCACCCTGTCATCTTCCCAGGTGTTGGATCAATCAGTTTGAATAGTGATTTAATAAGTCTAGAAATACAACCCTCTCCAACTCCTATGATAGTTTGGGGGAGGAAAAGATTTGGGTTGAATATGCACATGTGCAAACACAATGACATTTCTTAATTTTAGGGCTACTGATTTCATGAAACTGTTTATTTTGAAAGTGCTAGTGCTCTTTCAGAATAGAAACAAATGTTGAAGTATGGGAAATTCCTGTGGGACAGAAATTGTGGGTTTTTTACCAGCTCTAATAACCACCAATGCAACAGCATGAGCAGTCAATCAAACAGGAATTGAGCCAACACAACCCCAGGAAAGTTCCTTTCATCCCTTCTTTATTTGCAAAGCAAACCCTTAGTCCTTTTGCAAGCCCTATTAAACGTTTGGCTTTTGCAGAGCGTCTGGGAAAGCAGGAGGTTCAGGCGCTTGGGAGTGAGTGTGAGGGAACAAGTACCAGACCCGCGCAGGCCTCGCAAACCACACCTTGCAAACGTGATGTGCAGGGCGCCGCGAGCAGGGCCTCCYGGCCAGGGTGGCATCTGGGGAGGTGGCAGCCTCTTGCCTTCACGCCAGCTCCTCCAGACTCCAGCTCCYGGTATCCTCTGTGCCCATGCGCCTGGCCAGAGGCCTTGTTTGGTGTGTAAGCTGCTGGGTTTAGCCCTGGCTTCGCACCCAGGGCGGGCTTAAGACAGTCCTATGTGGAGGGCAAAGCACCCAGTTGCTCGAAAGGATGAAAGAGGAAGGTAACTTTATGGGCAACTGTGACCAAGTGCTCATTTGAAGGACCTCAGGTCCAATTGAGGCAGTAAATAGGCAAACTCAGATATATGGTTCCTCATGGGCCACTGAATTCTTTGGCTGCTTCCCTTAACAGTGTCCAAGAAGTGCCCAATCACTATGATGTGGTATGCAGGCCTTTCTGCTCCGACCAGGAGGTGAAAACAAGGAGCAGGGGCTCAGCAATGACTGGCCTGGTCTGGTATTACCCATGTGGATAGTTGAATATCTACTTTACCTATATAGGGAGGTCGTCTTTGGAAGAAAATGTGGTTATTCTATACCTGGGGGAATATGCAAATTATACCAGTGACACCAAAAAGCAGAGATTGATATATCAACAAGTAAAGGGTAAAGATCTGATGAAAAGTATGATCTAAAATGGAAGAATACTTATACGTATACTTATATCGTATATATATATACTTATCGTATATATACTTATATCGTATACTTATAAAATGTTATGAATGCAAAACTTAAAACAATCTTTTGTAATAGATTTTTGTATGCTATGTTTTTTAATCAAGTAGCTGTGATTTCAGATGCTTAAGTTTCATTTCATGTGACACTAATTACAGAAACTTTCCTCAGAGCTTTCATTAACCACAATACTGATGTTAAGCATTTTTGTTAAAACAACTAGTTTTCCTGTTAACTAAAGTGACCATTAATTAAAATGACTCTAATTTTTAATTTAAATCTTGCTTTATTTTTAATAGTTTAACATAAATGCTTGGTTTTCATTTGACATTTATGTGCATCACAAATACATCTAAGGTCCAAAAGTCACCCTTCTGTTCATGTAGGAAATAATGGTTTAATTGCATGAGTTAGAATTGTATAGTTATCTTATCATATATTTATAGAATGTTTATCTCCCTCAGTAAGATATGAAGGTGTGCCCTCAGGACTGACATTATGTGGTGCAGAAGAGGAGCTTGCTAGGTCTTTCCAAATAGAGAGAAAATGTCTAGGCTCTAACAAAAGCTTGACCCTTGTGCATACATGGGGCTTTTCATTTTGTACCAATTGACAGTAACTCAGGATTATCTCTGCCTAGTAGTGTTTACCAATTTCCAAATATTCTTGTTAACTTCATCTGAGAAATGAAGTGTGGCACAGATGGTGTTTTTCAAAAGACCATAGAATTAATGGGTCTTTTAGAACGTTTAATTTTAACTTTAAACAGCATAATCAAATCAAAAACTTAGAAATAATTGGGCCAAGTTGGCTTATCTGACCACAGAATTCACTAACTAAAGTGAACAAAAATCTTGGAGTAAGTAAAATCCCCAGGAAAGATGGAAAAAATCAATTGACCTAAATGAAAGCAGTTTCCTTGTTAGTGGAGCTGCAATGAGGTAGTTTGCTGGTGATGGTCTCTGATTAGAGGCGTGCATGCTTATTCTTGTTGGTGTCACTTCCCTACGCGTTCAGTATTATACACCTAAGATTTAAATTGTAGATACAGAACTCCATGGTTCTCTTAGTTTCAACTAAGTTTAGACAAAGGTGAACTAGCATAAAAATTAGACGTGAATATTCATCTAATCCTTTGCCTTAGGTGAGAAGAAAAAAGATGTCACCTGTGGTAGTGTTTTTATGATATGATTTGCTGCTTCAATGACTATAATAATAAATTTGCAAGGTAACTCATTAACCTGCAAGCTGCCATTTGTCAGGGTCACTTGCAGAGGGCTGCAGCCAGTGCGTTTTGTCTCTGTCACCAAGAGTATTTGACATCACCATCACAGATGGCTTTAACACAGATGGAAAAAGTACCTCTCTGCTGCAGCAAGGAGGAGGTTTAACTAGAAAATAAAAATGAAAATGCAAAACTCAGTTTTCATCCACAGAAAAGAAAGCTGCAGTACCTGCAGGTACTTGAGTGACAAACTCAGTGAGTTGGTACATGTGCCCAGAAGCAGATTCCTACCTTCTCGTTTGGGAAGCTGTTCTCATGATCTGGCAAAATTGAAATTGAACATTCAAAGCAAAATGCACAATGAAAACATACCTGTCTACTTTGCCCAAGTTTGTTAATCATTAGGCTCAGGAAAAGCAGAACAAATTTAAATGCCCCAGGAGATGCCTGTGATGGGAACAGCTCCTAGTTCTAATTCCACTCATACAGGAAATGTCCCTTATTTTGCTTCCCAGCCCTGTCTTGGTGTGGCAAAAAAGACATGCAGCTTTTCAGTATCCTGGAGGCAGAATCTCTTGGGAAATATTTCAAATGTTTTTTCTTAACTAGTTCTAACAAGTTACTGTGAGGTGGCTGGCTTTGAGTGATTCTTCCTTGTTTCCCCAATAGTCTTGTTGATTTAACTCAGTATAGTCATACAATAAACATTTCAATAACCAGGTCAATACAGTATTCATAAATTCTTGCAGAGCAGCTCTACATCCATCATACAGTATAGTAGAGCTTGAACACTACAGTCTTATTCTATTTTTCATTTTCCTTAAGCATATGCACATACTTTCTCAAATCATACCCAGTGGTATTCATAGATTCTGGGAGACTGTCATGAAATGCAGAGAAAAAAGTGTACATATTTTAGACTTCTCTAACAGAAATAAGAAGTTGCAATTTTAAGTATTCAAGGTTTTGGATGGTGAAATTGTTTCTCTTTAGTCTTTGGCATTTAAGCCTATATGTAACATGTCTGGTTGTTGGCTCTCTGCAATAGACGTAGTGGTGTTTTCTATTGCCAGCTGCCTTGCAGTACGTGTATGCACAAGTGCTACACAACCACCAAGGAGAACTGAACTTGCTAGCTGGTTGTAGCCTGGGTAGCTGTGGGTTTCTGGAGGGGCTGTAAGGGTCTGTTTGCATTTGTGGGGTGGGAGGAGGAGCACAGCTGTAGGTACTGAGATACTCATCTTGTGCCTGAACTAGCTTTATAAACATTACCTCAACCTCATATTTCAAAATCTGGTAGTAGGAGTTAGTCTATGCTGCATAATCATCATATCACATATAGTATCTCTATTTTAAATAAACCTGAAATGTCTTAAATACCCTGTGGATAAATGAAGAGTAACCAGAAGCTTTTTTCTTTATTTCTTAGTGCCAACAATGGTACTGTACTACTAATTAGTACTGTAATATTAATACCCAAAATTAAGGTGCTTCTAATGCAGAGAAGCTTAGTCTTAAAAAAAAAAAAAGTAAAAGATAAGCAGTTGAAAAGCAGAGAATAACCTATTATGTTTTTAATAGCATTTGTTTTTTTACATCTGTTTCTCTTATGAAAGCCTCAGCAGTAAGCAACTGTTCTGGTGCAGCGTGGGAACTGCTGTGCTTGTCAAGGCAACTAGTCCTCTGTGGAACCAGCTTCCCAAGATCTTCTACTGAGTAGGTGATATTTAATATAAAGTAATTACAGGTGGAGAAATGGAACAAAGCTGGTGACCTTTCGGGGGGGGGGGGGGGGGAACCCTGCTTGGCAGTCACCTGCTTGCCCACCCTTTGCATGAAGTGATGTGGCCTTCTGCTGGGAACCTGTGGCATGCCCAGCTGATGCTGCCCTGCCAGGGAGTGCTATAAGGACACGCATAGCTGTGTGTCATGCTAGTATAGAATGTTTAAGTTCTTGCCTATTAGAATCTGAGGGTGGCTCATCGTGTATGTGCAAGTGATTGCACATACTGATTTTTCTAGTCAGTCACCAGCTCTCCTTGAAGGCTAAGAGGTGGTTTGTTGTGTAGGGATAGCTCTGTAATTTTCAAAGTTTGTTTTCTTGTTTCAGTACTCATTAGTGTATTAGTAGTTCATCCCAGGGTTTGCCCCTGAACTGGGGTCCTGATGGGATCATGGTTGCCAAAACTCCTTTAACAAAATGCTCTTGGGGAAATTCTGAGGAGCATGAGATCTGTGCACTTCGACTCTCTCCCTTTGTTTCCTTAAAAATATAAAAGTTGTGTCAGTGCATCTAATTCTAGTCTCTTACAAAACTAAAAATAAAGCACTGAAGGATTTTTTCCATTCTGCAGTCCCAGCCAGCATAAAAGCCCCCCTTTCTGGCATCACTTCCTTTCCCAAAACAGTTCAGCTTTGCGGCTGTGGCACCCAGCAGCCATGAAGTTACTTTAGGATTATTTCATACAAAGGAAAAAACTAGCTAAGTTAGCTGCTACATAATATTTTTATTAATATAACTAAGTAGTTGCCTAAAAGTTACTTGAGATTCCCTCTAATAGAAATTTGAATTGTAACTTTATAGCCTAAATAGGAAGCTAGATATGTAGCAAATACTTTAAAGAAAAGCTTCTATAAATGCTTTAGTAGAAAATTAACTTTTTGTGGGGATAAAGAGAGGGATTTTTCACTTAATGTATTATGGCATCTCTCTAAATTTTCGAGCTTGCTAAAATACATTGTGAAACATACACTGTCAGTCAAAATGATCTGTGAAGTTTGCATAAGCTTTGCAGAAATATTAAATATTTGTGCCTTGTACTGCCAAAACTTTTCTGTCAGGCTTTATTCTTTCAGCTGATTACTTTGGTATCCCTTGTTAGCACCGCACACTGTCAGCACTTGCTGATTCTAATACATGGGCTAATAAAACTGTACTTGTAGCTCTTATTGAGAGGTTCTGTTTATAGCTTGTTTATGTGCGGGTTATATGTAATTAACTTAGTCTTATTGCAGTTAATACAATATCATTGAATATTTCCTTCCTCAGTGTAGTACAATAGAGCTTTGTAACTTGATTGCAGAAGGCAAATTTAAGGGGAGACAGGAATGCTTCAGTTTTCACTGTGCATTTTTTTAAGCTATGCTAAAGCTGATGCCTTTTTCAAGTCAGACCTGTGAACAGGATATGTAGCATACAAAAAGCTGTGTGTCTGTTTATTGATGTTCAAAGACAAAGTTGATAGGATCAACTGAAGAAATCATGTACTGGGCACAGAAGGGCTAAGGATAAAGAATAAAGTTGCAAAAATAGCAAAGAATTTGTATATTCTGCATAGTCAGTTAACACTTCAGTTCAAACTTGCATGTTCTAGAGCAAATTTTTTTTTTTCAGCTTGTTGAGCTCAGATTGTAAATGAGACCACATGTTTGGTATTTTAATGTAGGCATGCTAGTTTAGTAAAAACACCACTCGTGAGGATGACCAACTAGTACATAGAGCTGTGGTTATTCCATCCATGTGAGTATGTCAGGAAATACTTGTACTTTCTCCTTGAAAGAGCATCCTGCCTGTCCTGTAATATAATTGTTTCACTTTAGTAGTCTCACAAAGTAGAGGAAAAAAAGTGTTAGGAAGCTTTTTCTCTTTGAAGAGCAAGTCTAAACAAGACTTGAACAAGACAAGGCATAGAATTCTAAGAGAAGCATGGTCACTAAAATATTTAGGAGTGAGTTCATATTTTCAATATCATCTTTAAGATATCTTCTAGTTAAAGAGAAGGTATGGATTGAAGGACTGCTGAAAAGATGGAGAAAATGGTAAGAAAAGTAGGCCTCCATGTAAACCGGTAGAAGACCTTGGGTAAATCTTGCAGATGAGAAATATAGGTGTCAACTGGGAGTCTGAAGAGCTAGTTAATAACACTTAGGAGAAAAATTATGACCCAGATCATAAGAGCAGCAGTAGATGAGATGGTCTGCAGGGCTGCGGTGAGGTAACGCAGTGCCTGTACCGTGCTGCGTGCCAGCAGAGATGTTATCCTCGAGCAGCGCCACACTGGCTCTTTGAACCGGTGTGAGGGAGTGGAAGTTTAATTTTTGCCTCAATGGCAAACACAGATGTTGACTGAAGTGCTGGTGATGTCCTTGCTGCTCTTGGCCTTAGTCCAGAGCCCAGTGAAATCAAAGGCAGATGATCCCTATCTCCTGATGCTTTGGTCAGATGCTGCAAAGAACTGGGAAGGAAGCAAGCACAGCGGCTGCAGCCAGCTCTGGAGTGCTCAAATTAATCCAAAAACCCCATAACCAAGGTGATATTAAGTTGTATGTTGCCATTGCTACTTAGGGATAATTATAAATCCCTGCGAAGACGAGAAGTGTGAAAGTCTCTACAGATGCTGTCTGGGACATTCCTAGGCAGGAGAGAGAACTTGGCGCCATTTTTATAGTTAGGCCTGTTAAGATTTAATAGATGGAAAGTTTCATTAGTGAACTGTGTTGCAATTAACTTGAAGGAGGTTCCAGCCTACTGTATGCAGTCCTTGCTCAGAGAAAGTTGTTTACATTTCCTTTTGCTAATAATTTATTGGCTTTTCAGCACTTGAATGTTAATGAATAGCAAGGGCCAGAATTTAACAGAAAAACAACACCACAACATGATTTTCTCATTACTCTAACAGACGATAGGGTCAACTGTATAATTTTTTTTATTTCTCAGTGAACATACCAGTTGCTACAACCTCCAGACAGGGTTGACCCAAGGGCAAAGGATAACATGAAAATGTAAATTTAAGGGAATAGTTTTCTCCTCAGTAACATCTGTAATAAGGATTAATGGGGTAGTGACCTGGTTTTCTTTGTCTTTTTGCCAGTATACCCTGAGGCCAAATACTGCTCGTCTTGCACAGCACTTTCATTGTAAAATAGATTAGGATTTAGGCCTTTTTGGTCTTGTGGGTGACCTGCCACAAGAGGTGAGGTGCACAATTCTTATCAGCCTTGGAGTTATTGCAAACTGCTTTTTATCCAAAGAGCAGAGAAGTTTCCCTGTTCCTCTTGAGAGGAATATGTGGTAGCGTGAAGCTGATTCATGTTCATAGTGACTGAAGATCATGTTCCCTGAACCCCTATGGGTCTCCTTAAAAAGAACTATATCAAAGGGAGTCTTCTCATTTTTATGGTTTTGAGGAAGCTCTGCCCTCGGAGACAGCATCGTCTTGCCAGACAGCAAGGATCTCTGCTGTAATGTCTGTAGGAATGTTTGTGAGATGGAGCCAAGGCTGTGCCCAGCTCCCACCAGCTCGGACATCCTCTTCTGGCTGGTCATGTTGAAGTGTTTGAAGGACACCTCCCTGATTTAAGAGGGTTTTCTTAAGAGTGTTTTCTGCTGACACTTTGGACCATAAAGTAAAGGCAAACTGCTCTGAAAACTCATTTTCACTGATCTAGGGCCACTTTCCTCATGTTTGTTGACTTTGGAAAATCTGAAGACAGCTATACAAGCATTCTGTTGTGCCAGCAAAATTGAGAAACATCTTAGGTACTTGGCCATGGAGTTAGAGACCTTAATGTGCTCCAAGTTAAGTGGTCCAGAGCCTACTAGCTGGGGGGTTTTGTTCTTTTGCTGTACAGATATTTGTTACTTTGAGATGTGCAGAGCTGACCAACTAATGCTACGAAGAGTTAGGGTTTGTTGTACTGTGAAGTGTAGTTGAAGCTCTCAAGCTTAAACATTTCTTATAGTTCACTGGGAAATCTGTGTACAGTGGCCAGTGTATGTGACTTGTTCTGGGCCTGATCCCATAATTTCTAAGTGAATGAACAAAAATAAGGAAGGCATTATACAATTTTATGCTAAATTAACCTTTCTGTAGAGTACTAAATATCCATCTCTGAAGATGCATCACAAAACCTAAGTATTTTGCTACTGCAGCGGTATTAGAAGTACTTTGTGCTTTACTAGAATGTAAAATTACTAACCAAAATGTCTTTTTTTAAAAAAAAAGGCAAGAGGAGTCATTCAAACAAGTTATTCTGTCTTTTAATTGAATTTCACTTATTGTCCTAATTAGAGCTAGTTTTAATAAACAGTTCTTGGGGGAAAGAAATATATATATATATAAAAAATCTGAATTTTTCTACAGGAAAATCTGTAGCCTTAACCTGATGAAAGTTTGTAGGGTCAAAGATGAAAATAGTTTTCCAAGTGGGCAGATCTTCTAGATAGACCACGTCTAAGCACTTGGGTGGAATGTAGAGGGTTAAATTGGAGCCCTAGTGTGAAAAGGACTAGCTCTGCCTTCACTTTCTCTTAAGCCAATTCTTGGGCTGCAGTCTGTTTCCAAATTCTGCATCCCCACCTTGGCTTTTTTTCTGTCAGTGCAACCTTTATCACATATCGAGCTGAAAAACTCACTGGATTCTGCTCTGCTTCTGTAGTGATCGTGCAGCAGGACTCATGGGAAGCAGGTGGACCAAGTGTCCTTCCTGGAGGAGTGTTGCTACCTGTCATGCTACAGGTGATCCCTTTTGTATTAGACTTCAGGAACTAGAGATCATGCAAGGGTCTGCTGTTACAGCCTAAGGGAGGGAATGCCCTTCAGTTGGAGTAGAGCCCACCGAGGTAGATGGTCCCACTCCAATGACTGATTTATGAGACCTGTAAGAAAAGTTAGAGATGGGTGCAAGAATCTCTCACATATCAGTTTACTGCCTCA